AATATAGTTTTTGGACATCATGCATCTCATACCTAGTGTTATATGAGTGGAGTAATTATGAACTCTGGTGCAGTCATTTCGGAGTTTATTCGCAAAATTTATTAAGTTACAAGTATATACAGATAAATGAAAACGACGAACCCGATGTTAAAAGAAAAACGAGGCTATTAAAACTACATAAATATAAAAATAATGTTTTTGATGCGAATGAGCGTGGAGATAATGGTGAAGTCATTGTTATATGTTGTGAATATATTTTAAATATATCAAAAGATTAGTATTAAGTTGTGCTTATAAATTTACCAGTAGAATGTGCATATTCGCTGCTGAGAACATAATGGCAATGAACCCGAAGACAACAATACTGGTTGTATATTAAATAATCTTCAAAGACTAATATGAGGGGGAAAGAAATGTGTTAACTAATAGTGCTCTAGAAATATGGTTTTGATTAGACCGCATGAGGATAGTGACAACTTGGGGAAAGTACAGGCAAATAAATAGATCAACTTTAAGATTTGTTACCGAGTCCTAAATTAATATTTTGCTGATCCCTGATCATCCTATTTCTGTTGCTTTTGGGCAACATAGCTTCATTTATCATCTTGTTTTGTTTTAATCTTTGGATCGTTACATTATACTCAGGTGACTGTTAAGGCTCTTGGACCTCTTGTGTTTATTTAATCAAATCAACTCAACAGTAAAAACCTAGTTTGAAATGCAAATTAATTACTTACACGGACACCTTTCTCCTGAAAAGCCGCCCTTGCACTTACAGTAGTTGTTTTGATCGGGCAGGAAATTTAAAATACAAAACCCATCGTTGTAACAAGATTCATTATGCTGGTAACTGCACATTTTGTCTTCACAGTTCACTCCAACGAATCCCTGTTGACATTGACATCGTCTAGTTGTCCAGTTCGAACTTGGCTCCGAAATATCAATGCAGGTTCCACCATTGTCGCAGGGATTTTTTTCTGAGCACGTGAGATCTTCATCCTTGTGCACCTTGGCCTCTTCAAAAACAAAAACCAATGTTATATATACTAGGTGAATGCTAAGTATCATTTTAATGGCTTTATTTTTATTTATTTATTTACCTTTCTTTTACAAGTCTTTTTCAGTTCAGTTTTGTTTAATCTGTTTATTCTTGCGCGCATACAATTTTTTTAGTTTTCATTCTTTTCTTTTAAAGGGCATCCTTTTTTTTTTTACATTGTGTAAGCTGGTTTAAGGGGAGGGGCATACAACACTGGATGAAGATATGTCATTTAATTAACTGAAAGTTTAAAGTAAAAAACCCAGAATGACAGACCCTACAATTTGGCCAGTAATCGTTAAGTTGAGTGAATGTTGCAGATTCATCTGCGCATCTTCATCTTTCAACCACACTTCAAAACACTAGCTTGAACTAGAGTGACTAAAACAATATATACTCTCATCTTTCTCGGCGTGCATTACTCTAACGAATAAATGTAGTTTTAAGATAACAAACCTAAGCCGGATACTGAAACTGCCAGGAGTGAGGCACCAGAGACTAAGCAGATGAAAACTTTGAACATCGTGATTGTACTCTAGTCCTCGCTGATGGTTGGAGTAAATATACTAAAAGCAACCCCTTAATTTATATGCAGTCAACATCAACGTGTTATGTACTTCATGTTCGGATATCAGAAGTAATTTAATTGAATGATCAATACTTACTTTCATTATTGTCATTTTTTGTGAGATCATTTCAGATCGCTGTACTTTATGTTTGTAAGGATTATGGTACAGAAAGGTTTTTTTTTTTTTTGCTGCGATGGGCCTTTCTGAACAAAGGATTGGGTGAGAGGATAATCACCTTATTAATGAAATCGGTAAGAACAGATCTTTTTCATGTAATCAAATATTCATCGCACTTTAGAAAGGTGATATGTACTGATTGAAAATCAATACTAATTATTATCGATTTCATGTCACTCACTCGGCCCCAAACCATCGGAAAACACGTGTAAGAAGGTGAGAAAAGTTATGGAGAGAAACTTTCCTTTCGTTTTGAAAATATTAATTTCTGAAAAGATATTTTTTTACTCCTTTATTGAATTATTTGTTGTCGAAAAGGATCTTTCACTTTTTTTCATTTCCGAGTTATTGAAATGAAAGTCAATTGATTGATTTACTGTTTAACGACGAGTCGGCAATATTTCAGCCATATTTCAGCGGAAAATTAAGTTTATTTGACTGGTTTTTGAAAGGTTTTTTCTTGTTTCTCTGGCGGTTCTCCGACGATCTTTTACGCGCCAAGGAAATGAAAGTCAAAAGATCTTATATACTTACCTCCAAAAAATGAAATGATCTGTTCTTGTACATTTTGATAGAGAAATGTATTTACATACAAATGATAATTTCAAAATTTATTCTTACAATCATAAAATTCATCCAGACATCAGGAGAACAAAAAGAGAGAGAAAGAAAAATCAAGATAAATAAAATTAAAGTTTTGCATTTTCGACAACTCCTCCAATGCACTGGTTCAAAATTATGCAAAAGGACAATGTTTAAGGAAGGTGGATGGTCAACAAATTACCCACCAGATCCATTTTAAAAATATAAAATAAAAAAAAAATTCTACCCATTATAAAAATCAGTAGACAAAACTACAAGTGCAATTTCCAATATTTTTTTCACCGAACTCTTCATTTCCAGGAAGTGTTAAGTTAACGAATAGGGCTGAAGTTAGTTCGATTTCTTTTGACTTGGTAGAGTGTCTTTGTAGTTTTGAATTCAATTTAATGACAGTGAGGTTGTTCTCCGGCTGTATTAAATATCGTATTTATTTCATTGTTTGCTTGCATTGTGTTAGAATATACAAAAAAGATTGATGCTGAATTATTTAAAGAGCGCAGCTATGTTAAGACTGTCCGAAGGCTTAATACGCATTAAAAATATATATTTTACTTTAAGCTAAATTTTAATTTCAATATGTAATCTATCTATTAATTTGGAGTTAACTTGTCATGAGAGTTTAATCCGGTATTTTAATAAAGCATTTTTGTGATGTCACATGACTTGATCACGTGACGGACACTCATAAATTCCTCAATGTTGCACAAAAATCGCATTGGCACAAGTGCAAAACAGTTATTGCAAAGAGTTCGTTACATAAGTCAATTCATCGTGATTTTTGGTACATATAAAGTGCTGTGGGCAAGTCTGAATTTTACTTCTTAAGAAGATATTTCACGAGAAATTCAATTTACCTACATACAAGGGGGCATTTTCCACTCTTTATAGCAATGTATACAATGTATGCAATCCCCTAGCAAAATTCAGTTTGAGGACATACTTCTATAGTAGATTCACACAGAATATCTTCAATTTATCCTTATTAATGACTTGTGCCAGTCAAATATATACACGACTCAAAAATTCTTACTCTGTCTACAGACGTGCAAGGGGGAGCGTTTCACGTTCAATTTTTTGTTACTGTTTGAATATGTGCATATCGGACAAGCGAAAGGAATAACGATATCAAATTTCAAATGTTCAACGCACATGATTGGAGCTAAAAAAAAAAAAAAACAATCCAGGCACTTGAAATAAGCAACAATGCTAAAAAAAATTCTACATGTCATGTGAAAGGTATAACAGTTATGACACTTTCCTCGTCATGTCAGCTCAAATATGCAGAGACTTGACGTCATATGCTATTATGACGTCATATCTTAGTAGTTTAGAGAAGTTACTACAGTTGGAACAGTTTGATATTTTACGGACAGCCTTATCCTAGCCGCGAGTCCCCCTCCCTTCCTCAAATTTATTAAATTTCTATTAAAAAGTACCGAAATAATGTTGATGCCAAATCATTTTGAAAAGCTTATAGAAAATAAGTTTACTATTCTATGGCTACAGCAAACAAAGAAGTATTATGTTTCCTACCAGAATTCCATGTTTTGTAATTGCATTTTCATGTCATGTAGACATCCTTGCTGCTGGTTTAAAATCATGTAAGTAAAGTTGCCATCCCACTGTGACAGATTTTGGTAAGATATAAACATGACACCGAGCCTGTTGAAGGTTCTGCACAAGACTTTATTGTCAGGATCAATCAAGAAATTCATATATTTAAGCATAAAAATACAATGATTGTCAAGGGAGATAATTCATTATACATAGAATATACATATATTACTTCGCAATTAAAGAAAAATCAATTCTCATCATAAAACTTTACAATAATTATCATCATAATGTATATGAACATTACAAATTACTGAAAAATCATAAAATCATTATATGAATACCATTCTATGGGAATAGGTGTGTAAATGCAAGCAATAATGCTGCCAATATATAATGCCATACAGTCTCAGAGTGATCTGTAGATTAATTACACAATATTACACACCAGATCATAAAAATATATTACCTTTAAAATATTTAACAATGAGATCTTTCTATTTACATCATACTTTAAAGTATCATTCTCACTGATCTCATTTACTCAGGGAAAGTGCTTGGGAAATATATTAAATATGCAAAATTACAGATTGGACATTTAATTGAAATATATATTAGAATCATATTAATATTAGTAATAAATTGTTAACTTACCAGAAGGAGAAGAAAAGTTGGTCTCTATCAAAATGTCAAAGTCAATATGTCAGATAACTAGATATACACATCCTAACTGACCAACCTCTGGACAAAGAATGTCCAGAAAACCAAGAACCTTCTGGAGGGAAAAACATGAACCAATCCCCAAGTAAAATACAAACTAAAACACCAATGAAATTAAAAGAAACATCCAACATTAGGCCTGGATATAATTAATGACCTAAGGCCATTTCTATCTATATACACCTATTGACAGACCATGGGTGAATGCACACAAAAGGCTTTAAACTGAATAATTATATTATTCAATATGTGCATTTCTACGTCAAATAATTATGAGATATGACACTTATAATACATGTACATAATATATACATGTATGCAAAGAAAAATAATAAAATATGCATCTGCCACATCACCACCTGAAATATTGTGTGGGTGAAAAGAAATTTGAATTGGCTCACATTTTGTTGGTGAGGTGTACCTATCTGGAATGTGGGCTGATGAATGATGTTCCCACTGGAAACAGGCAGAAGGCAAGCAACTGTGCAAGTGCATGGGATGTTAACACAAAATTAGCTGCAGGTAAAATTTCTGAAATTATAACCAAAGTATCCTGAATCATACAATTTTCTTAGTATTACTGAGCATAAAAAATTAAGACCGTAAATAATTTTCTTCTTTACAGGTGTGATAAAATAGATGATTTGGTGAGTCCCATGATAATGGACTGTTATCTGCTTTTAACATTCCCACAATAACACGACAAACTTGAAGTCCAGAGTAGGGGAAATTACACTTTATTTCAACAAAATGCCAGGGAACAGTTGTAATAAACATCTTGATGAAGAAATCATCGTGTAATAACACCGCCTATCACTAATAAGGAATGATACATATGGTTAATGTATCCCTGCACAATCTTAAGAGAATCTTTTACAAGTTAGTTGCCGATTAAATTAATGAAATAACCAATTCCAGTGTACTGACTTTATTTCAGATGTGATTGCAACTTCAAAGCTGGATTTGATGGGGCCTGGAAAATCGACATCTCAAAAAGCTTTTCAACTTCTGCAATATAATTTTATATGAAATTATATTGTTAAAGCTGAAAGGGTTCTTGAGATATCATCCGGAAACGAAAGTGTTACTCATATACAGAAAGACCGACGGACAGTCAGACCCATATTAATAGTCCCCATTTTCAGTGAAAGCGGGGAACAATAAAAAGAATACAAAGCAACATTTTTACCTTTTTGTAAGTGGAAATTCACCTTTTTATTGTAGGTTATTTGAAGTACTGGATCCTCTCCTAGTGGCCATTACAAATAAGTATAAAAGCTTTCAAAAAGCTTGGCTGACTTGAGCATTATATCTATAGAACGTATGGGCATGATAAGCAATAAATGTTTCCCTTCGTTTTACGAAACACCATGGTTTTTATAGTTTTTGCCCTGTGCATCCGTCGGTCTGTTTGTCTGCAAAAACTTTAACCTTGCTCATAACTTTGATTGGCTAGAGCCATGGCTTTCATATTTTACCTGTGTATTCCTCGTGACAAGACCTTTCTTTGGGTACCATCAAATTGACCTTGGAGTTTGACTCAGTTTTTCTAAATTTTATCAGACTTTAACCTTGACCATAACTTTGGAACAGTTGGTGATAGGACTTTCAACGTTCACATGTGCATTCCTTGTGACAAGACCTTTCTTCGGATACCAACAGCTTTGACCATGACCTTGGAGTTTGACCTACTTTGGAAAAAAACTTTAGCCTTGGCCATAACTTTTAAACAGATAGTGCTAGTGCTTTCATACTTGTGTATTCCTCATGAAAAGACCTTCCTTTGGATACCAACAATTTTGACCCTTTAACCTTGACCTTGGAGTTCGATCTACTTTGAAAAACCTTAACCTTGGTCATTACTTTTGAACAATTAGTGCTAGGGCTTTCATACTTCACATGTGTATTCCTTGTGACAGGACCTTCCTTTGGATACCAACAATTTTGGCCCATGACCTTGACCTTAGAGTTTGATTTACTTAAAAAAACTTTAACATTGGCCATGATAACATTTAACGTGTGTATCCCTTGTGACAAGACCTTCCCTTGGGCACCATTTGACGTTGACCTTGATGTTTTACTTACTTCTGAAAAACTTTAACCTTTGCCATAACTTTTCAATGGTTGGTGTTAGTGCTTTCATATTCCACAGGTATATTCCTCGAAACATGACCTTTCTTTTGGTAATGTACCAACATTTTTGATCTTTTAACCTGAAGTTTGACTTGCATTTGAGAAACTTTAACCTTCAATTTAAGCTGCACTACGGGGCCTCAGTGTTTCACAAACAAAGCTTGTTTCAAAGTTAAACTTGTTTGCGACTCAATAGAAAATGGAAAGTGAACAAAATTTATTTGTTTGTATCTCAAAAAAAGTTGTTGCCCTTTCCTACTGATTCACGATTGTTTTGCCAGCTCTGAAGAAACTTGATTTTTGTTGTTTATCCCAGCTGAGAAAGTGTGCTTGAAAACTATGGGTTTGAAAACTATGAAATAGAGAGAGATTGGTGTGTTTGTAAACTTCGGAGAAAAGTTGTAGTATGTAGGTTATTCCTTGATTAAAATTAAGTTCTATGTGCTGTTATTATCGCTATAAACACTGCTCACTGCCACCTTAATCTTCTGCAGTTGCAGTTGCATTGTGCTCAAAGTCCCAATTATGTCTTATTTTTTCTTCAATTTCTGTTTAATGAACATTTAGTACAAAGTCTAGTCCAAGAAAAAGTGTATTCACTATTTCACTGTCTAATTTACAAGCTTTTTTTTTAAAATGGGCTAGTCAAATGAAAAAAAACTTGCAGGATCTTTCAAAACCTTTTGCTGAGGCAGCATCACGTACCCTTAAAAATCGAACGAAGGATCCATATCCGAATACACGACCACAGAGAAACAAGAAAATCTGCCACCAATATGTGCTTCATCGCCGGCCTATGTTAAGATCCGCCTCTCCAAAAATTTCAGCCTGGTATTCCAGTCCCAATATGTAATAAATTCGACACTGACATAATCACCTGAGGAAATATTTAAAATTGCCGAAGCTGCCTGAGAAGGTATTAGAGAATCCTTCACGAGGAAATTCCTTGCATGACAGAAGAAAAAGCGCTCAACTTTGAAAAGAAATCGAACACTTACAAAATGTGGACTTCAGTATGAGACTGTGATAGATGAAGTTGAACAAAGCAGTCGACATCCGCTGATCCGATTATCCGGAATCCCCGAATTAAACACAAGGAAAAAAATCAGGAAGCTGTAACTCCATGCAGAGCATTGTCACAAGAAGATATCATCAATTCACACAGAATTGGGAATCAAAGAAACAACGCACTTCACCACAGAAAATAATATTCCGTGTAAAATCCGTAGTTACCAAGTTTCATGTCCTCCGGAAACTTTAAGGACAACAAATGTACCAAGAGATTCTTTGTCAGCGAAGACAGCACCAAGTACCGTGACAGGCTGTTATATGTTATACATAGACAAAACCTTCAACAGAGTGCCTGTCATCTAACGGGAAGGTAAAAGACAATCGAGACAAGTATCATCCCATTCAAAACAAATCTGACTTAAATAAAGGAGATGGGTGAACAAGGCGTGCAGAATGCCTATATCTTCAGATATGTAAAAATCATATTCAATTTGTGAATTAAGTATTTAGAATAAAGTTCTCTTTATTGAAAATTATGAAATTATGATAAACAAAACATTTCCAAGGAAAATTTTCTAGGTAGAAATTATTCTGTTAATAAAAAAATAAATGCAGCATTCGTGGGGTTCGAACCTTAATCAATAAAAATCCTGAGTTTCATTTTCCTTCGAGACTAACGCCCTTACCACTACACTACACAGCTCTTGTTAAATAGAGGCATTCAAATCATGTTTGTGATATGACCCTTTACTAAATGGACTTAAGTATTTCTCGGAAGACGCGAATGTTGTGTGATAATTGTGTATTATTATTATTATTAATTTTTGTTTTTTTTTTTTGGTAAAATTGGTCTATGACAATGTTTTTATTCACCAAAAATGTATATTTTTACACAAACTTTGAGGATAAACTTTCAGAAAAATGGAGCGAAGAATTTGTGTGAAATAGTGTGAGAATATAATCCTTTTGTCCTGTTTAGTGTGTGTATGCTATTTCATAGGCAAATAATTTCAACCTTTTTGAGATTTGTGCAAATTGTAGAGATTAAACAGAAAGTATACTTTAATGTAAGATGAAATATTAAAGGAAATTTTGTTGTAATTTAGATTTTAATTTTTCACCTTCGTGTTTGTCGCATTATAGGCCCTTCTCTCGCCTTGTTCGCCCATCCTCTTTGGACATTTAGTTGAAGAAGAGAATACGTGTTTGTTTCAAAAATGGCTCATTAAAATTTTACACTCGAATTTAGAATCATTCCATCCAAAACAGTTTCACTCGTGCAATACAATAGCTCTAATAATTTCCCAAATTTGAAGTAATGTGTATCATATCAATTTTATCCGCAACTTTTCTCAGTTCTCTTTTTCCGTTTTTGTTTTCATTTACTAACACCAGTGTATTGCATATCACTACTGGCTTATAATAGTTAAAAATAATTGGACCTGTCCAGTTATGACGTTTTGTTTATGATAGTTAATACTGATTTGACCTTCCCCGTTATGAGATTAAGTTTGACATAATTCAAATAAATTAAGAAGGAACACTTTGCGAATTCATTCCTGTAGTGTTACCTGACCATATACAATGTGTGGTTTTGTTTTTGTTTGTTTTTTTCTTTTGTTTTTGTTTTTGAGAAAGGTAAATAGAAATTCTAAAGCTTAAGAATAAGATTAAACTAAAATAACAAACTTTATTTTATTCCATGGAAATTATCAGGCATGGTTCCTCGTCCACTTGAGATTAACAAAAACAATTTACATTACATACTTCCGCAAAAAAATAAGGATATGTAAGTAGAAGTTAGAGTCTATAGGTGTTTTCACAGAAATATTTCCTCATTATGTCCTAATAATCCCACTAAAAAGTTTCCTGTACTCCTTTCTTTTGTTTAATGCTTAACATTGAAGAACTATGTTCCCTTACCTTTTCTTGATAAGTTTATCCAGGATTTTTTCTCTAGCCTACGGTAAGAAATGCTGTCATATTCATTTATTTGTCTTTCAAAAAGTGTTTTAGAGTGTGTAAAAAAAGATGTATGCTCTCAGCTGTAAAGATGATTAATATTACTTTCCGCCTATTGATGCTTCAAAATTTCTTATTTAAAAAAATATCCTTCAATTTTAATGGCGTATTTAGAACTGTCATTAATTTAAACTTAATTTTAATATAGTTAAAAATAATAGACAATATGTATGCACAAATTTCGAGAAAAAACATAACGGCAATCACTGCAGAAATTGCCACACTTCCAAAATGTTTAATATAAAAATGAAGCAATTCCCAGTTTTTCAAATGTTCCGTTTTGTTTGATTTTAGTAATAACTCAGAATGTCATACAAAGCAATTTTAGGCATTGCAACGAATTTGACAGAATTCTTAACTAGAAGACAAATAAACAAATATAGGCAGTGAAGAACCATATTTATTACATTTTCAACAGTGAAATACTATAATTTATTTACTGAATAAAAAGTGATATTCTGACACAGTCTGAAACGATATCAAAATGGTATTCTCACAGTGTGAGAATATCAGAAGAGCGGCAAAACTTGCGATTTTCCTTCCCTACACGAAGAATGTTTTTTTAAATCCCTGGCCTGTTATAAGATATAGTTAATTAACCATCCTAACAGAGACTAATAGTTATACTGCCAACGTCTTTGCCAAATAGGTCTATTCAATGTCGTTAAAAATCCATGTTGACAACGTTTTTCAATCTCGAAATCGCTTAGCTATGACGTCTCAACCGCTCAACTATGACGCCATATCCTATGACACCTGCTACGAAAAGACAGAGGCAAAGGGAAAATCTAAGAAAATATAATGGAAAATTTAATGGGTTTTTTAAGATGAATAAGGAATTTATTTCACTCGTGAAAATATCAAAAAATCCTGTCCCACTCGTGAAATAAATTCCATATTCATCTAAAAAACATTGAATACCCTCTGTGTCTTCGTCGTTATTTTACACTTATATGTTCATCTATATATCTATAACTTGACCTGTAATTCCAAAAGAGAGTATGGTGCTGTTTTAGTTATCTTTAAGAATATGTAATTTATGTGATAAAAACACTCTAGGTGACGAATTCCATTATGTAATGGAGTCTATGTTTTTCCTCATTACGTATGAAAGTCAGAAACTCATAAGAAATATTATTCTAATGTAATTACTTACAAATTTGGGAACCTTATGTCCACCACAGATGTAGACTCGCTGAAAAATCTGTCTTTCTTTCTTTTAAAGATATTGGCATGTTTTCAATAATATTTTTTAATACTACTCTACCTTACTTGACCTTGTATTCTGTATATAATTATGTAAATGTTTTCATGAACCCCATGTACCATTGTATGGTCTGAGAGTAATAAACAAAAAAAAAAAATAAATCTTTTCCCTTGGTGTGTGCAAATAAAATGAATAAATAGCTTTGGGATGATATTCCATCAACGCGTCTATTCCTACACATTCTATATAAAAGGACATCAGGCTTAACTTTTTCATAAGTTTATTCCTGTATGCCTATTTACAGAAAATTTAGCTCTCCATAAACCTACTCATCAAGATCATCCTTACCATTCTGATCGATGGGGAGCGGAAAAAGCCGTTGATGGCAAATACGACAATCTGACATCAGGTGCTGGACAGTGTGTAATCTCTGCCAATTTCAAACGAACAGCCACGTGGTGGGTCAACCTAACGAAGGTTTATAGTATCAGCCACATCAACATTATCTACAGGACAGATAATTTTCCTCGTAAATTGTTTTGTTTACATTTTGAAATGAATACGAGTTTTGAAACCTTCAATTGCATGTAAATGTTACTGAAAACGTACATATGAGGGGATTATTTCTCAAAGCACAACTCTCCTTCTATATTACGCATAATGAAATTCAATTATATTACTTAGTTTTAACCGTTTTCTATGAACCAGGAAATGTCTTTACGGGTGATTTGAAAATATTGAGAAAAAAAATCTTAAATAAAAGTAAATGTATTTTGCAGATCCAAGTCCTTATGTTTCTCGGCTGGCTGGGTTTTTCCTTTATGTTTCCAACACCTCGTCAACAGCGGATGGCCATCTTTGTTTCCATGAAATACAGAATGTGAGTGGAACCCCTTCAGAAAACCAGACGATAAGTTGTCCTATACATGGGCAGTATGTGATATTCTACAACGAACGAAGGACTGATGCTAAATATCCTAAGTACTATTCCAGCTATTCTTTCAATGAACTTTGTGAGCTGCAGGTTTTCGGTAAGGCTTCAGTAAAGCGAAGAGTACAAACTCTTTTAAAGGAAATGATATTCTTAGGTTTAATTCTAAAAGGAAACTGATAAAATTTAGGTTGTGATCGTCCGGGTATCTACGGAAACAATTGTTCTTTACCCTGCCCAAATCATTGTCAGGATCACAAATGTCACATACACTTGGGGGAATGTTTTGGGTGTGTACCGGGATACCAGGGAGCTCGCTGTAATCAATGTAAGTACTTATGAAACATATTGACTCATCGCAATTACAGACCGCAAAGCATTCCTTTCATCTAAAAAAAATGTCTCAAATTGCGTTGTTTCCTTTTTGCCATAAAAGAAAGTACGTCTTATTCGAAGGAAGAAAGATTAGGGGGGTGGGGGGGGGGGGGGGGTCAAAGCACTTGCTGGTGATATTTGTAAATAAATAATCTGTCCTCAAAAATGCTGGAAAAGAAAATTTTTCTTAAGAAAATAAATGATCCCTCGTCTGGTCTGGTCCTTCCCCTTTTTCCATATGAAAAAGAGTTTTGGAGTTAGCTTTTGTTTTGCTCGTCATTTTTTCAGTGAAAAAGAAAATATATTCTTTGTCTTCATCTTGGAAATAAATGATTTTTCCTTCACTGGCATGAAAGTAATAAATATACCTGATAAGAACCCCCCCCCCCCCCGCCATAAGAATCAAATGTTGCCCCCTTCAAACGTTAGTAGTTTACCTTAAAAGTCATTTATGAACATTTAATTTAGATCGAACGAAAATAGGGAATGTGTATAGTGATCGTATTAATTTTTGTTTTAGATGACATTTAATTATAATCCTATACTTAATCAGGATTCGCTATTTTGATAACATATAAGAACAAGCTATTTTATTTGAAAAAATCATAATAAAATGCGTCCTTTTTAACGTCCATATAATAATATACTTATATAAATTTTATTCAACATTTCAACTCTTCATAAACACACTATAACATAGGTCGTCCACGTGGCACAGTGGTTAGAGCGTTTGCTCTTGAGTCCTGGAGTAAGAAGTTGGTCCTTACGTCGCGGGTTCGAATCCCACTGTGGGACATGGAGACCGCTCCTTCGGATGAGACCGTATAAACCGAGGTCCCATGTCGCAGTAGGTGATTGCACGAAAAAGATCCCTCACTGCTCAATGGCCCCGAGTGCCGAGTACAGGTCAAAATTTGCAGCTCTCCACCGGGAAGTGGTGGCATCTCCATATGAGTGAAAAATTCTCGAGAGGGACGTTGAACAAGATACAAACACTATTACACAGAAATTAAATACCATAAGACTCTTTAAAATAAGTAAGGGCCTTTAACTCTGTTTTGGATATGATCGTTAGCTTGATTTCACTTTGTATAATTTGTCGTACATACTCCCAGTGATGCTTTGATTTCGATTATATGAAATAAATATGATAAAATGAAGTGAATAGATGTATTCTAGAGGACCAATGGGCCAAAGAATTTGACCCTACTACGCAGCACAGTTAAGGCTACATAAAGAAGACGCTTTCTAATTTATACGAGAAACGCTTACTGTGACATCACGCAAAAATATCATTTCTTTATAATATCATTAAATGAAACAATATTCCGTTGATTCTTCATGTTATGCCTTATAGTGCTGCGTATTCGTCAGGGTCCATAAACTGAACAAACCACTAAAATTCTCATAACTCAGATTGCTTGCGTTCGAATATGATTTGGTAGCCTCAGGATTTTCATTAATATCAATAATATTCCGAAGTACAATTATGCCCTATTTTTGCTCCCCCCCCCCCCCTCTTGTGGCCAAGATTAAAATCATGTGAATTTGCATAATCCTAGGATTGATGCATGTTCATAATTCTAATCATAGTTTATACAGAACATTCTTGAAAAATCGGTTCCTGTATGTTCCAATATAAAAGCAAGATCCCTTATTTTGACCCAAATAAGCTACCGGATGTTAAGGTTGTTCATCTTGTTTGCAAATCAACATCGCTTATTAACGCTTACTCTTAAAGGGGAGGGGGGGGGGTAAAGGTTTTTATGTACATATGATGAGAACGAACTTAAGACTAAGTTATGTCGGATACCTTTCACCATCCTATCAAAGAAGTGTTTATTGATAATCCATTTTTAAGACAATTCACTTTTTTGCTTTTTAAACCCACCCTTCTTTCAAGCAAAGCGTTCACGGTAGCTCAGTCGGTAGAGCGCTCGCTCCGTGATCGGGAGGTCGTGAGTTCGAATCTCGGCCGCGACTGACCTAAGTCGATAAAAAATGGGTAGCAACTGTTCCTTCGCCATGCGCTCGGCACTTTGAAGTGAAAGTTGCGGGTCCTTCGGATGAGACTTTAAAAACCGAGGCCCCGTGTCACGGCAGGCGTTGGCACGATAAAGATCCCTCACTGCTCAATGGCCGTAACCGTATATGGTGACGTCTCTATATGAGTGAAAAATTCTCGGATGGGACGTAAAACAGCATACAATCAATCAATCTTTCAAGCAAAATGAAAAAAAAATGCATTTTCGCAAGGAAGCTCGGAATCTGTCAAGTAATTATGGAGGAGGTGAAAATTTAAAGACGTTGGACACACGATGGGAAACTGGTCATCAGAAAAGTTCACTTGAAGATAACTTAGTGTTAGCTTAATAATGTGAATTTAACCAATATTATCCAATGTATTTTATTTACCAAGCTTTACCAATTTTTAAAACTGTGCTCTATTTATCCAAGACATAATAATATCTGAGCAATGATTCACTTACAATGTATTATATGAAATATTTTTTTTTTAATTAAGTATGTAATGAAGGAAGATATGGTCCACAGTGTTCTTTGTCCTGTGGTCACTGTAGAGAAAGAGAGTCTTGTCACCACGTTAGTGGTACTTGTTTACACGGCTGTAGTGAAGGATTTCACGGCACTACATGTATGGATGGTAAATATTTAAATTCATCCTTTCGAAAACCGGTTAAAAGCTTGAAATAAATTTTAAAAGAAAAGTTTTAAAATATTTTTTCTTTTGAATTAAAAGAATGTCAAAAGGGATATTATGGAGAAAATTGCACGAAGAGGTGCAGTGAAAACTGTTTCCATTACACGGAGTGTGATAGATTCTATGGAGAATGTATTGGAGGTTGTAAACCAGGATGGAAACGGCCTAATTGTAATAGAGGTAAATATTTGAATGCAATTAAACTTTTTTTCGCGAAAGGAAGGCGGTGTTTCTACTTATTTTAAAGGTGCACGTACAAGTCCAATAGTACACTACCAAGATAATGTTAATTTAGCTTAAAAAAATACGCATAATATGATGACCTTTTTAAGGTAGAATTAACAATTTTTCCTAAGTTTCATTTTATCTCTGTTACAATGAGCTATTGATCATAAGGAAATATATATATTTCCACGTTTGCCTGACAGGAGTGATTACATGTAGAACTATAATGCTAAAATACTATAAGCAATGTTTGTTTAAGCCCCGGCAAGAACATAAGTACACAGATTTTAAATCTGAAAATGTACCTCAATATTAAATGCGATAAGAACTTTTTTCTCCTGCCGATCAATTATACATTTTTAAAAGATTTGCATATATCTTGGAATTTCAATTTTTGATAATTTATGAGAAAAATATCAGCTTTTGAACTTAGTCATTTTTTTTGCAAAAAATTGCATATAGGTTACCCCATTTGTCCGGATAAGTCATCCTACAGTTTTTAAGATAGAAAATTTTGGTTCTGCAGATCAATTGTACATTTATTAGAGACTTGAATATTGAATTTTAATTTTTAATAATTTATGAGAAATTTATGACAAAAAATGCCAGTTTGTTTAACAAAATATTGCATATAGGTACCCCATTTCTCCGGCTAAGTCTTTCTACAGTTTTCAAGATAGGAACATTGTTTGCCGATAATAACATATATAAGAGATGTGCATATTACTTTGGTTTGAAAAAGAAAATACCAGCTTTTGAACTTTTCTTGAAAAATATTGCATATAGGGTACCCCATTCGTCTGGATTCCACTTCCTACAGATTTGAAGATAAGAACTTTTTATACACCTTTCGAACAACGTTAAGAGGGTTATATAGGAATCACCTTGTCTGCCTCTCCGTCTGTCCATCTGTCTGTAAACATGCAAACTCTCATCGTTATAACTTCCTTATAGATAAACTCTGAGAGCTCACACTTTATACCGAGATTGTTTATTAACCTTTGATTTGCCATGACCTTAACCCAAGGTCATTCCGACAAGTTCTAGGTCACTGGATGAAAAAAGTATGAAATTCTTCTCCATTCTTAAACGTTGACTTTGTAATGGAGAATCACTGGAAGCTGATACTGAGAACAAAGGTTGCTTATGATTCAAGAGTGTGTCTTGACTCTGACCTAAGGTCATTCAAGCAAGTCGAAGGTCACTGGCAGAAAAGGTAAAACATTCTCATCTGGGCTATAACTTTGTTAAGAAAATCTGATACTTGGTAAAGAAATTGCTATTGACACAAGGGTAAGTCATGACCTTAACTCAAAGCCATTCTGGCAAGTTCAAAGTCACCGGCAGAAAAAGAATAAAACTCTTGTTTGGGCTTTAAACTTGGTTATGGAGAATCACTGGTAGCTCATACTTTTTACAAAGACTGGAAATGTCCCTCGGGTTTGTCATGACCTTGACCCAAGGTCACTCCGGCAAGTTCAAGGTTACTTGTATAATAGAAAGAAACGGGTAAATATTTTTTTTAATCTTGATTATACATGTACCATTTTGCTTTTTTGTTTATCACGAAAGGTTTTGAAGCAGTATAATCATACTTTTTGTTTCTCAAGAATGTGACGATAAAACGTTTGGGGTGAATTGTACAGAGAAGTGCGGAAATTGTCTGAATATCAAACATTGTCATCACATTAACGGGTCTTGCATCACTGGGTGTTCATCTGGGTACCAAGGAACGGCATGTGTAGACAGTAAGCATCTTTTGATACTTACACAAATCTACAATAATAACCAATAATTTTCTTAGATTGCCATTTCTGAAATAATGCACACGGCTTTCTATTGTCTATATTTTATACATGTAGAATGTGAGGAAACTTTTTGGGGAGTCAACTGTAAAGAAAACTGTAGTGCGGATTGTGTAAATCGGACGTGTTTTCATGATACCGGAAGATGTTACAAATCGAAAGTAAGTAACATAAATTGAGTATTAAAAAACAGACCTATATTTTGTAAGGAAATAAGACTGTAAATTACATTTTTTTCATAATGTTAATTAATTTTTTTTTACATATTCTGCAGAACAGACTAAGAAATATTACACTGCAAATGCAGAAAAAAATGTTAGTTGTTAATTTAAAAAAAATATCTGCAATTCTTTAAAGATATGTATTCTTATGGATGGAAAAAAATGTTCATATTACATGTAATTGCAATGTTTCCACTTCGTAGTCATTTTACATTCAGTTTGAAGACAAACCCGGATTTTCTGTCCTTCCCGTCATCGGTGGAATTCTAGCCCCTGCAATCGCCATCTCCATTACAATAGGGATATTTATTTTTACACAAAGGTATTTTATCAAAGGATAAAATGAGAGCATAAAAAAGAGACCTGCCAACCCAATGATGATTTTGTTTTTTCTTTATTAATTTTTCAAGTTTTCAGTCAATATATGAAATTCTTGTACAATACCACTTTTGATACACCAGATGCGCATTTCTATTAATTTTGTCTGTTCTGTGATGCTAATGCCGAAACGTTGGGAATCCGAAATATTTAAATTAAGAAAAATATGAAGAGCTGAAAAAATCCGTTACTTTTGACTTTTATCTAGAAGATTTGTTAATTGAAACGATTTCACATATAATGTTGTAAACGCAAAGATGCGTTAAAAATTAACTTCGACATCATGAAAAATTGTAGAGACTTAGGATAGGTAGAGGTCAAAAATAATTGCATTACTTAATGTTTGTTATTCTTAATCTTGAAATGTGTGCCTAGTCATTGAAATTTTTTTCATTTCATTTTTTTTTTCAGTTAAAAATCTCCGAGCCGTGATTACAAACATATTAAACTTATCGAAAAACAGACATTATTTCAATATTATGCTACTTAATAAAGATCTATTTGAGCATGTATAACAGATGATAAGTATTACCGAAGGGTAGTTTATAAAAGCTTTTTTATGAAAATGGAACTTTGAGAAAGTGATGGAATTAACCTTTTTTTCGTTAAACGGCACAATTACAGTAACATTTATTTTATTTTTAATTTCTTATTCATTTTCATACAAGAGGGCCACATAGCTCACCTGAGCACATTGGCTATGAAAAAGCACAAATCAGTTCAGTGTTGAAAAGTTAACATGGGGAGAGGGGGACTTGAATTTTAAACTACCTGAGGATGCTTCTATACCAATATAACAAATGGCTTTGCTGTTATTGACCAGAAGATTTTTAAAGATTTTTTCCTCTACATTTGACACATCCCACTATGACCCCTCCCTGCCCCCGGGGGTCTTCATTTGAACAAACTTAAATCTACAATACTTGAGGATGCTTCCATATCAATATGACTAAACATGGCTTTGCTGTTCTTGAGAAAAAGATTTTTTCCTGTATATTCCTATGTAAAACTTTGTTTCCCTATTGTGGCCCCACCCTACCCCCGGGGTCATCATTTGAACAAACTTGAATCTACACTACCTACGAATGCTTCCAATTCAATATGAATAAACATGATTTTACTGTTCTTGGGAAGAAGATTTTTTAAAGTTTTTTCCTATATATTGCTATGTAAAACTTTGATCGTCTATTGTGGCCCCTACCTACCCCCGGGGGTCATCATTTGAACAAACTTGAATCTACAATACCTGAAAATGCTTCCATATCAATATGAATGAACAACCCCACCCTACCCCCGGGGATCACCACTTGATCAAACTTGAATCAACACTACCTGAGGATTGATTGATTGATTGTTGTTAAACGTCCCTCGAGAGAATTTTTCACTCATATGGAGACGCCACCACTTGCCGGTGGAGGGCTACAAATTTTGACCTATACTCGGCACTCAGGGCCATTGAGCAGTGAGGGATCTTTTTCGTGCCAGCACCTACTGCGACACGGGACCTCGGTTTATACGGTCTCATCCGAAGGACCGGTCTCCAAGTCCCGCAGTGGGATTCGAACCAGCGACGTAAGGATCAACTCCTTACTCCGCGACTCGAGAGCAGACGCTCTGACCAATGCGCCACGCGGGCGACACACTACCTGAGGATGCTTATATATATATATATATATATATATATATATATATATATATATATATATATATATATAAAATTAATATGACTAATCATGGCTTTCCTATTCCTGAGAAGAAGATTTTTAAAGTTTTTTTCCTATATATTTCTACGTAAAACAATGATCCCCCATTGTGGCCCCACCCTACCTCTGGGGTCATGATTTGAACAAATTTGAATCTTCGCTATGTAACAAAGGTTTCCTATTAGTTTCAACTTCACAAGCTCACATACCCCACGCTCCCCCAAAACTCGACAATGCAACACGTAATGAATGACACAGTGCGTTTTAAATACACAGTATAATTCAAAAAGGGGCATTACTTGCAAAAAATCATCACATCAAAACTTCTTGCATATAAGGACATTCAAATCTTTGTATGTTACAAATTTAATTGGGCTGAAGTTTCTAGATAAATGATGGAATCAAAATTTCTTGGTAATATACAAATCTATACATTATGTCTTAAATACATAAGTTTCATGAAATGCAGTTCCGGAGTTATGCTGACAAACTGTTATTTAAATTCCTCAGTGATTTCGATTTGTTAATGAGTGTAAGTCCATGTCCAACACATGACAATTTACACATTTAAATAATTGATTGAAATAAAATTATGATGTAGTCATATGAATTTGTTTATATACTATTCTTATGAAATTATTTAGGGCAAAGCACCAATTTGAGAGGGGGTGAGAACTATCCAAGATTTTTTTTGTGTGTGTTAAATCATTAATATTTTGATCTCAAAATCAATAGGGGTCTTTTAAGGTCATGAAATATTTCACATAAAATTTCATTACAAAAGCTGATTCCAGTGGATTTCCTTATTACCTAGCTGAAAAGTTTTTTCGATAAAAGGCAAAACTCTTAAGGCAAAAATAATGGAATTGGAATTTCCTGGTAATATGCACATCTACACACTGTGTACTAAATATCTGCAAAGTTTCACCAAATTCTGTGCAGCGGTTTAAGAGGAGTTGCGCTGACAAACTGTTCATCTCTATATTCAAGATATGGCCAAAAGTCAAGTTGAATAGCGCCGAAATTCCCAGAAAAATAATGGAATTGGAATTTCCTGGTAATATGCACATCTACACATTGTGTCCTAAATATCTGCAAAGTTTGACGAAATTCTGTGCAGCTGTTTATGAGGAGTTGCGCTGACAAAAAAAAAACAGAACTGACGGACTGACACACTGACTGACTGACGGGCGGGTCAAAAACATTATACCTCACGCATCTTGTTGCTTGGGGTATAAATATGCCACCAAATTTCCACTATTTCTGATTTATCTCCCCTTGGATGAGGGCGTGGCCCTTCATTTGGACGAACTTGAATTCCTAACATCCAAGGATTCTTTGTGGCAAGTTTGGTTGAAATTGGCCCAGTGGCTTTGGAAGAGAAGCCGAAAATGTGAAAAAATTACAGACGGACGGACGGACAACAGACAAAATGTGATCAGAAAAGCTCACTTGAGCGTTCAGCTCAGGTGAGCTAATAACATTTTTTTTTATCCAGATCTGAATATTCAAGGGAAAAAAATATATCTATCATTTGTCCACTAAATCACTGTTATTACTTTTTTTTTTCGAAAATGCCGAATAAGTTAAAAGAATGATATTTTTTTATATATCAAAAATGTTTATTATAAATTATCTTTTTTGTACATAAATTTACACTGTTTCATAAATTTCACAATGGTTTTCAGGTTATGCAGTGAAGGCAAACAAAATATGAAACTGAATTCAAATCTACCAAGTATGTTGTCTTTTTGCCCTCTTACATGTAGTTGATACTTAGAGAATTTTTTCCCTAATATTTAGCTATATTTGGCAATTTTTGTCATAAATGCAAGATAAATTCTGTTATGAATTGGTAAAGTCAAAACAATTCATGCTTCAGTAATAATAATGGATATGTTAATTGAAATGATTTGTTGCTCTTTATCATATTTTCAAATTGTGAGAAATCGATTTTGAAATCATTTTAGCAAATAAAGGGAAGATTGTGGAGAATGTTAAAGATCAAAAGCACGAAAGGGATGATAACACTGACGTTCAGATACATGTATCACCGACAAAACACAACAAAATAACGACACACGATGATACAGACGAAGATATAGACGACGAGGGGAAATTGCACGATGATAATCCGTATGGTGACATGTACTACAATGAAGAGACACTTCCAGATATTTCATTAGACAAACTCGAGGAAACGATAGCGGGAAAATGCATTGATGATAATGACGGATTTAAACGAGAATACGCGGTGAGAAATAATAAGCTTTAGGAAAATTTTGAGGAAACTTTTTACGTTTGATGATTTACGATAATCACCCATAATTAGCAAAAAAGTTTCCTTCTTGTATTTACAATACCATTTAACAGGCACTTCCGTATGGAAAGAAATACACATGCGATGCCGGAAATCTACCAGGAAACATAACAAAGAATAGATATCAGACTTCATTACCTTGTAAGTTTTATTAGAGATAAAAAAAAATTCTATCTGCAACAGTAAAACAAATCAAGGTTTTTATTATTCTTTTATTTATGAGTATTCTGATCGGTTATAAACAAGAAAGAGAGCAAACAAGAGAGGGCGTTTCTTTACTATGCATTTGAATAAAGAAGCATAATGCTTGATTCCAAGACGTTGTTTAAGAATCAGTGAATAGCAGAATTAGAAACATAAAGATTATTATGTACAATTTTCAGATCTCTTCCATTTAATGTTTGAAGAATTCCATTTATATTGAAATGGAATGAAATCGAAGATATCGAATTTAACTGAAATAGATAATTAAAAGAGGTTCCGTACCGCTATAATATATTCTTATATTCATATTCAATTGATTCTTTCGAAATCAAAGGCAACTTCTTTTCTCAAATTATTGGAAATCCAGTGACCCCCCCCCCCCCCCCCCCCCACTCTCTCGACAAGTAAGTTTAGTTTTACATCCGAAATGCAGGATACTTGTACAATCTTTTAAATAGCATTTACTTTGCAAGTGTCCTATGAATCTCTGTCCGTAAAGGCACAACTTGTGAAAATAACAAACTGGCTAATTACATATATTTATTTCTGAAGATGATATAGATGATCCACTTCATGAATGTTTTAATATAGATGTATAAACACTACTGATCAATAATAATAACTACATTTGTTTCAGCGAACTAAATTTAAGTACTTAAAATTCTGATCAGGGTTTTTGTGTGTGTCAGTGATCAGTAATGTCATTTTAACATTTAGTTGCTTGACCAACGTACATGCACTTTTTATGCTTGATTCTTCCCACCGATTTTTTTTTGTTTTGAACTCAGATGACCACACTCGCGTAAAATTGAAGAACAATGAGTCGGACTATATTAATGCAAGCTTTATTAATGTAAGTAATATTTTTGATAAACTTACATTTTACAATCAATTTTAAACCGTTTTATTTTAATTGTATCAGATATGCAAAGCTTTTTCATCGTAAAATTATTTCATATATTAAAATTGCTATATGAACATTTGTACAAATAAATAGGGTTTACAGGAGGAAAATGCATACATAGCAGCCCAAGGTATGAAATGCATATTACATTTGTCTTAAGAAATATATTTTACGCCGGAATGTACATTTTTTTTTCATATAAGAATATGGAATAAATTTAAAGAAAATAAACAGTAACCCGGGGCTTTAATAAACATTTTTGCACAGGTCCCAAGCAGAATACAGTGTCAGATTTCTGGGCCTTGATTTGGCAGGAAAGAGTCAAACAGATTGTTATGCTGACTAACCTAAGAGAAGGAAACAAGGTGAATTTTGGGTAGTAAACAAGTTTTAAATACTGTTTATACATGATATCACAAATTATAATGCTTCCTGTACTTTTGTCACTGTATAACAAATACCTGATTATTTTCACAAAAGGATTGGTTTAGCGTAAGCATACAATGCCTAAATGGTGCATAACTTCCCTATTTAGAAAAAAATAAATATATCAGCACCCACGTTACTGATCGAAATCACGATCCCGAAAACACCGGAAATCCTTATTTTATACAATGTTTTTTGAAGTTAATAATAAGAAAAATCATTTGCATCTGACACCAATTTCCAAAAGAGTAAAAATCTTAAAAGAAAATTCTCTTAACAAATATGAATATATAAACTAACCAACGTCATATGAACTGGTTTTTCGGTGTCATTCAAACACTTTTTGAAATATTTAATTTTGAATATTTTTGAAATTTGGTTTGAACTATGCTGATATGGTAGTCAGGGTTTGACATATAATGCACTTGCCTATTCCTGCTCTATGTATCAAACTACCTACTAATCAGCATAGTGCATCCTAATTATGATATTTTTTTAAGAAATAAATTATTTAAAATGTATTTTATCTCAGAGTTTTGACTTTAAAAAAATATCGCAATGATTACTTTATCTATCGATGACTCTTTCTGTCATTATTTACGTTTGAAAGACACCGTGTGATTTCCTTTAAAAACGCAATGACATGTGTTTGCCGATGCTTGTATGTCGTTCAGAAACCAAATACAGAAATATTTAACTTCTGATTTTTTAACTTATTTTGTTTATAGGCAAAATGTTTCCAGTACTGGGCTGATGTAGGAAAATCAGTTATTACTGGGGGATTTTCTATACATACTGTCGACGAGAAATATTATGCATTCTATGTTATCAGAACTTTAAAAGTTATTCATAGAAAGGTAATATTTCATAGTTTAATGTGAACATCTCCATTCAAGAAGATCCAAAAAAGCAGTTAGAAAGATTGATTTATTTCGACCCACTTTACTATAAATGTGGAAGAATAACATACTAAACCTAATTTCGATTGAAAAGATTTTGTGTAAAATTTTAAGATTAAAGAAGTCTGAAAAATATATTTAATTTAGTTTATCTCCGTGAATGTGCAATATTATAACATTTTTAAACAAATGCCAGATTTCAAACAAAGAATTTTGTTTTGATTATTCTGGATTATTATAAGTTAAAACAGAAGAATTTAGTACAGCATTATCAATTCACGGCTTGGCTGGACCACGGAATACCAGAACCATTCTGTCTTGTTGTATTTCATGATCACGTGAGGAGAACAAGAAATAGTAAAGATAGGAATCCAACTCTGGTACATTGCAGGTATAAAAATATTGAAAAATTTTACAGAATAACTTTTTTCAAAATTTTAATATAAGTGGTCACTTAAAAATATTTGCGTAAAATAAAAAAAAAATATCTTCAGATTTAAAAAAAATGTACGAAAAGTATAACACTTCGACGTTTTAAATATTTTGTCATAGTAAATTTGAGAAAAAAAGATTTTTGTGTGGTTTTATATAATAAACTATGCATGATATGTAGCAATATACCATCATCACCTGCTTATGGAGATTATGTCTCCAGTTGATTCGATACGCAAGAGTATATTCTTCGTACGAATAATTTCTTATACGCAGCAAGCTATGTCAAACAAGTTGAGGAAACAAGGATATTAACAGTCTTTTTTTAAAGTTAACATTTTGCAAATTCTATGATCGATACAATGATTTTGTCAAAAGAAATCTATCATTAAGTGGAATGTTGACTGACCTTCTTCTTACAAATTGTAAGGACATCATCTTCACACTGAATTGTCTACGGATTTTCCCGTTTGTCCGATCATGACAAGGAGCACATGGCTGGTGTGATCGGACGATTAGGGATGTTTACTCCATTATATCTGTCCCATCCTCTTCTGTTTTAGAGGTTCTTTACTAGTTTTGTCCAAATTTGTATTATAATTTCAATGCATTTTTGATCTTGATTACTGTTCGTTTTCATATTTCATGATAGGCACCAGAAAAGTACCAAAAATATCAAATTCACATGTAAAATGAGTATTATACATGTATATAAACATGTACGAACGCCCATTTTGTAACAAATAAAAATTTAGGCCTGCCTACTTAAAAGGGTTGTTTTTTGTAGCTTTTTAACAATTTGTCTGCATATTTGACTTAGAGATGTCATTATTTCAACTTCAAAACCATTTAAATAAGTATAATATCCAAATTATTTCTATTCCCATTGTGTTTTTGAATAAAAATCTTAATGTCTTTGTGTGTATATTTGGGCATCTAGTCATTGTAATTCAAATGTGTTTATCGTCTGTCTGTATATGTAATTTATTAAAAGCATCTCTGCTTTACCAGAAGAATTTTAGAAGGTTTGGATTTCAAATTGTAGATCGTATTTAGGGAGTCAAAAATTACGCGTAAATCTGGAGAGTAGGCAGGCCTGATAATTTAATAGCGAACGCAGCGCCGCTCGTCTCTGCGAGCTCTTAAAGCAACGCCTGGGCGAAGAGAAAATTCAGTTTGCACATTGTTTCAAACGAATTTTTTTGCGCAGTAACCTGTGGTCCCATAATGCTTTAGGAATTGAACCTCGCCGCAAACTACGTTCTCGCGGAAGGAACAAAAATTGACAAAAAAAAATTAAAATCACATCGATTTAATGGATATTGCAGAAAAAAAAAAACATTAGATTAATTTTCTTCATTAAAACTAGAACTGTTCAGGCTTCAATTTGGTAATGCAATTTACATACAACACCATGTGACGTCAGAGTCTAGACGTACCAAATGTCACGTGCGGTTTGAAGAGACGATGTAAATTAAATTTGCATGTACAGTACCAACCAGACCCAACCTGACACAAAGCAGTTCCAGAACAGTCCTGGAAAGCAGTCCCAACGGTCCCAGAAAGCAGTCCCAGTGGGCGGGGTTAATTAATTAAATGGGCGGAGCTTACTCAGAAATGAGATTACCAATAAACAATGTAACTATAAAAGGCAGTGGAAATTGATCATGCATTTCTTTCTGAGCAGTAACAACAAATATTTACAATTTTTATGTGACAGTCATTTCTGAACTGTAAGGAAAATTACAGTACGTGTATAGAAACAAATAATAAATATTGAACGAAGAAGACATTCATACCTACTAATAATATGATTATTTAAACAAAGTTATGTGGTATATTAATTTTTCACCAAAATAAATTAATTTCTTTTAATTAATATTGGTTTCCATATTTATTTATTTTTATAGAAAATTAAACTTGATTTCTTTTTTTTTTTTTTTAAATCAGAATTAGTTAAAATAGATATTATAATTATAGAGGAAGGCCTATGCCTATACTATACTCTGAATGTATTTTTCTTACAGGAAAATACTGGGGCTTTTGAAAAATTCTTTGTAAAATTTTGCCAAGTATTGTATTTCAGTCATGATTATTTTCACTGACTTGCCAATTTGATTATCGTTAGATTCTCTATGTAACAGAAAACAATAACACTCAGTTTTAAGTGTACATCTGTGTGTACATCTGTACGCGAATGGAACCCTCAGATTATGTTTAAAATTAATTAATGCCGAAATATATCTATACACATTTATTGAAACAAAGATTTTTTGCAGTTCATAGATTGAAAATAGTGTCATTGTTGACCAGCGTGCTCAGTGATGTGTAACACTGATACAATTTATTGACTTTCTGCTAATCATGCCCAAAGGCGATTGAAACCTCAAGACTAGTGTTGACACCACGCAATTCCCTATATTTTCAAATGTTTATTTTTTAAATAAATGTTCCTTTTTAATAACTTGTTTATAAATTAAAAACTAATTCATAAATTAATCCCTAAATACTTGTTCACATTGTTTATATGGCGGAAGAATGGTAGAATGATTTTATTTCATGGACATTTAATAAATTAATTATTAGGTTTTATTTGAAGGCGGTAAAAAATACCAAGGAAAGCGCTCTTCTTAGAATGGTTTTAGCTTTTTCAATTAAAATAAAAATCCAGTACAGTACGTCCCCCTGAATATCTTACTGAAATAACATGTTTGTGGGTTTTTTTTTAAATAGTGCTAATGCAAACTTTGAGTACATAGTTTGTTAACATTAATTAATTAAATAGGCTTAGATAATTTTGTTTCAAACACCTGTATTAAAGTTTAATTTTAGGGATAAAATTCATCTCCTGACTTCCCTTTTTAATTACTTTCGTTTTTTTAAAATTAATTCTAGACTACAATGGTGTAAATTTAGATCCCCTGAAGACATATAGTAATTACATGTACATGTATATCTATCTCTACTTGTTAAAATTTTGTAAGAAATCCTTGTTTTTTATTTTTTATCTTGAACACCTCTCTGCTGAGAGTAAACAAAACAACAACAGGAAGACTGCAAATTCAGAATACAAAAAGGGGGCGGAGCTATCATGTCACTCAGAACCTTTTTCACGCATGAGTGAACAAAGCAGTCCCAGAAAGCAGTCCCTGGGACTGCTGGGTCTGCTTTCTAAAGCAGTCCCACAGCGGTCCCAAAGCAGTCCCGGGGACTGCTTTCTGGGACTGCTTAGGTGTCAGGTTGGGTCTGGTTGGTACTGTATAGGTCCGGTATCTGCGCTCGCCCTAACGGTCGCACTGTCAACATATTAAAATTCTCAATGCATACTTTCTATTTTTAGCGCTGGGATCGGTCGTACGGGTACTTATATATCAATTGATGCCCTGTACAAGGTTGGTGTGAAGGAAAGGACTATCAATATCGCAGAATTCGTGAAGAGAATGAGAGAGAATCGAATGAACATGGTTCAGACATATGTGAGTAGAACACTCAAAATTCACTATGAGAGCCTTTTTCTTTGAGCGTTCTTTTGTACGGGGATTGCAATATAGAAACATTATGGTTTTAGAAATGTTTTTCATGTGGTTAAAATTTATGAAAAAAAAATATATTAAAGTCGGCTTCCAAACTCGGTGCATATACCTTATATCTCTGTAAGGTGATCTCCACATTTTACATTGAGTAACTTAAGTACATAATATAGATGTTGCAACAATAGTTATTATTGCGATTATTTAGAGTAACTAACTCCCCATTATTGCGCTCTCTTACGTCGGAGTTGGACATAGTCCAAATTCGCGGGATTTTTGGGTACAACGTTTTGAAGGTAAACAATGCCAATGCAGAAGGATGTACAAGCGATAGACGAAATAATTACGACAATTTTGAATTTTATCAATTTCCGAAGGTTGAGTCTGTTAGAAAAAAGTGGTTGCGATATACAAGACGAGACAGTTCTTCTCCGTAAGTTTGCGAAATCGCTATCTTCGTCGTCACAGTGGTGATAATATAGCTGATCAGCTTCCTCACACAACACTCGTAATTCCTCTTTCTTCTTATTCGAGTGACTTAAGCCCTGTGATCGTAAAAAGGTGACAAGTTCTGGTTTCTTTTTACCTTTAATCTCCATATTAACAGCTTCGGTAGCACCGCGCGTCTATATATAGCGACGTCATTGTATCCAACCCGTAGGCATAACGCGCCTCCAATACGGAAGAGTTCCTAAATGACGAGTAATCGAGATAATAACTTTTGCCATCAAGAAACATCAGAACACTCCTTTTGCAGTACTAGGACCTTAGTAATAATAATAAAGCTCTTAAAAATAGTCACGACTCATCAGACTTGGTAAATACCCGAGTATCTCTCAATTCCTTTAAGGTTTGGAGTCATGGCCAAGGTCTTTCTTGGTGAAAAGAGGTGTTAAGTTGCCTTTGGATTGCTTTAAAGTAGCTTTTTGTTGGTTGGTATAATTATCTGTCGTTGCAATTGATTTTAGCTTGCTTTTAATTGATATAATCCTTCTGTTGATTAATTTAAGATTGCTGTTGTACAGTATTTTCATCGATTCTATTCTATTAATTGTCTTACAGTGGCTGCAATTGGTGACAACTTACACGAACGATCACGTTACACGAACGATTCCGTACGATTAACGCACGATAAAACCTGTTACACGAACGATCCCTCACGCACACGATTCTACACGTTACACGATCTTACACGATTGCTAACGCAAAGGCACGATTCTTCACGCAAAATAGTTCAAATTCTTTAGGAATGGATATTTTCAAAACGAAATAAGCCTTAATATTTATTTTAGATTTCGAATAATTATTGGTATTATTTCATAGACTTTGAAAAATAAAAGAAAAAATACAAATGGATATTTCTGAAACTAAATACATTAGATAACAAATAATTATTTACGTAATTCTCCGACTGAAGAAAACTGTTTTTTCCTTCTATCAGAAGATGTACATGTAGGTGGACCGTGAGTTTTGATTGAATTAGATTTCATAATATGCAGAAAGGGATAAGTCTAAAAAAATTGGCATGAAAATGAATTAAATTATAAGTTTAATCCATGTTTCCATTTGTGAATCTCTAAAATCAACAATTATCATTATCAAACAAATCATTTATTTGCAGAAATTATAAAAAAAATAGTTAAAAGTAAGCTCCAGAGATAAACACTGATAAACGAAACCCCGACAATCATGTCGTGTACATGTACCTTCGCGGACTAAATATTTATGTAAGCGTAGAGAATTGTTTATTTATTTTTTGTAAAAATATCTATTTTTTGATCTATTGATTTTAAAAATAGCTTGACCATTATTAACAGTAAACATAATTAACATCAGAGAAAAAATCCTTAAACATCTAAGTATGGTTTATCACAAAAAATCACGCGATTTGACGAGAACACAATATTGTACGACTTACTATATTGCTTATTTCCAAGCGGTAACTAGTTCCTTCTGCTTTCAATTATGTAAATCGGGTTTCATTCATTTTATTTGGATTGAAAAAAAATTAGACAAGAGATATGCTTGTTTAATAAATAACATTCCGATAAAAACTTACAAAACGAAATTTATACGTTTCTTAACGCACGATCACGCACGATGAAAACCGCAAACGATTGAGTCTGATACACGCACGATCTCGCACGTTACACGAACGATCACGCACGTTACACGAACGATTCTACACGATTGGTTTGTCAACAATAACGTTGCAGCCACTGTATATCTGTGGTTGGATGATATTATTCGATTATTGGCTTTAGCTACACGTGTCGGTTGGATAGTATCATCCCTCCGATAAATGACTTTTAAATGACTTTTGCGTGCTCTTGGATGGTTTCAGCTGCTGGTGGACGGTGCTCTGTTTGTAGGATTGTGCTAATGTAGTAGTGTAGTTTAAAGGTATTTCCTCCTTGCTTGATATCTGTCGTCAAAGTATCATCCCCCATAATGGTTTTAGCTTAATGTTTAAGGCCTTCATCAAACTGATACTTAAGACCATCAGCTTTCTGTTGGTCGGCTTTACCTTGTGGTTGGATGGTTTCATCCTTCTATTGAATGATATAAGCTAACTGTTGGATTTTTTTCCAGCTTGCTTTAATTTTACATTACATAAATTAAATTTCTAGGTTTAAAAAACATTAGCTCAACATAATCATGAATTAAGTTCTTATTACTGTGGAATCATGACTGTTCTTGGGAGATCAATGTTCGTAGAATTCTTGGGTCACCCTTATCCACGAATTTACATCCCCACGAAAAATTTCGTCAACAGATCTATTTATTGAATCTTCTATATATACTATTACCCACGAAATAACGTTCCCGCGAACCAACAAAATTTTGCTTACCCACGAACACTGACTTCCAAGAGTTAAAGTGATTTAACAGTACTTGTAATATCAATAACAAGTAATTGCACGATTACAAACCTATCTTAGGAGCAGTACATGACCATATATCTGGCACTGGAACATGTCTTTAAAGCCTCACCGGCGATTATGAAGAAAAGTGAATTCCTAACAAAAACCCAGGCCAAAAGGAAAAATAAACCGGAAAACCAAAGTGATCTTAGAGAAGAGTTTCAGGTAATATACACCCAAATAAGAACTAAAAAGTATCAGTAAAATTTTGAAATAATTGCATTCCTTTCTTCATTTTCCAGACTCTGTTAAAAGTTCGACCTTCTTATACAGAGAGTGATTACAAGATGAGCAGGCAATCAAGCCGGGGTGATGTGACAGTTCTTCCTCGTAAATATTAAAATATAAAGTAGACTTTATCTGCTCTGCTCCATTTTATTTGAAATTAAAAAGTCTACTAAAGAAAATACATTTTATGGTTTATTTCAGTGGACAAGTACAGTTTGTTTTTGCCGTCCAGCATACCAAAGCGTGGAAATTACATAAACGCGGTTTCTCTTCCGGTGTGTATATGTTCAATATAAGATAAATCCCTATAATTTGCACAATTCTTAAAGAATTTTCAAAATATTTACAATCGATGCTTTATGAACCCCACTGAAATAAGGTATGATTCCTTGTCAAAGATTCTTCTCAATAAAATGCGTTTTATTTTACGTAAAATTCAACATCTGAGTCCAGCTTTTAAAAAATGCTTTGAATACTACGCAATAGCCTCAGATTTTTAATTTTTATATTTCATAAGTCTCATGATATATAACATTCTTTTCCTATTGCATTGGTACATGTACCGTACATAATTTACATCAAAAATGTTTTATTTTTGTTGCACTTTATTTGGTTTTAAACCAAAATGCTTAGGAGGTTTAAACGTTCTGAAAGATTTGTTTGACCATTTCTTTATTCATTTGTTTATTTATTTGATATTTCACACAATTTTGGCTTTCAGTGATATTTTTCTTACTTTTTACTTTAGTCTTACACCCATGAAAACAAGTTTATTGTCACCCATTATCCAACACCAGATGACGCTGTTGATTTCCTTCGCCTACTCATTGATCATGAATCTGAAACAGTGATCTCCATGGAACCCCTGAGTGATGTTAAATCAGTATGTACATGTAAATACTGTATATGTATTCCAGATATTAGCATAATTGATAAATAATGAATGTAAACCTTTTGTTTTCCCCATTTTTTTTTTATTTGTACTTTGATCGAGATGCGTATTTCTTTTTCAGAGCGAAGCATGGTTACCAGACTCCGCTGGATCTAAATGGGTATCGCCCTTTACAGTTCTATATCAAAAAGAAGACTTGACAAGTGTAAAGTGTACCACAATTCATATTATTAAAAAGGGGGTAAGTATACAGGAGACGATTCAAATGAAGACATTGCAAGAGAACTTGCCAAATCCTTTAAAATTGTTCTTGTTGTATGTCAAAGTAGGGGTAAATCCCCTATGGCTCGAACAAAATAAAAGAAAAGAAAAGCTGAAACTTAATTAAAATGTTTTTTAATCTAAAAAAAAGCCTATCCACTCTAAAAAAAAATGTGGACCGGCAACTGCAAACAATAGATTTTTTTTAAACCGTGGCCCGAATGATCTCGGTATTCATAGAACAAGTATATTGTAATTCATCTTCACAATGTCAAGGTTTGTGATACCGTTTCTCCTCACAACCCCTTGACAAAGTTGGTATTCAAAAGTTGGGATTGTCATTACACATGACCCAATGGTTAATTATAAACCAACCAAGGAGGATATATCTTATCTTTCAAATCTCACGTTTTCAAGTGGCTCAAAGTCATAGCAGATCTATTGTGATTTTAAGAAGGATATTCAAAAAATTAATCTCCGATATTCTATTTGAGGTAACTAGTCACGAATCCTACAATATTGGCCCTTTCCATTTTTAAGACGTCATGTTTGATTCGACAACTCACCTACATTAAAGGCTGTTTTCTGATTGGTTACAGTCCTATACCTGAAACAAATGAAATAGTAGCTTTCTAGCCCGACTTTTGAATAGGACTGATATCACAAAACTTTGATAATGTGAAAATTATTGTAAATATATAAATAAAGATGGCAGCCATTGGGGTTATTGCATATAGTTTTGAAATATTTCATATAGTGGTCTCATATAAGCGGGTTATATATATAATAACTAGAAACTTTTTGCCATGGCAACAAAATGTCTTCCGTTCTATTATGATACTGTTTTCTTTGATTTTTGTATGTAGAGAAACGTGTACAGTGTACACTAGTTAAAATAAGCTTGAGTATTTTAAAATTATCCTTTCGGTACTTACAGTCCATTGATTTTACTGCAAAAATGAAAGAACTTTTTGTCCTTATATATATTGTATGCCTTACTTTTTGCATTAAGATAAACATATTTAGACTTTTCAAGTAACAGTAGGTAGTATCTAGAAAATAACCTGCCAGTACTTACGGTACGTTGATTTTTACTGCTAAAATGAAAGTATCCTTTGTTGATATTGTATCCTTTGCTTTTTTCGTTAAGAGAAGCATACTTAAACTATTTAAAAATAAGAGGAGGGAGTGTCTGAAAAACAACCTGTCAGTACTAACGGTACTAAGATTTTTACTACAAAAATGAAAGTGTATACCATCCTTATATATAATAGTATATAAATTGTTTTTTACATTTAGAAAAAAACATTTATATATTAGTTGAAGTATCTAGTTAATGTCGTTTCAGTCTTTGTGGTACTTTGATTTTTATTGGATAATGAGAGTAGCTTCCATGGGTAAAATATTTGAAGCATTAATTTTTGTGTATAGAAAAACATGCCTGTTTATACTAGTTATAAAAAAGTAGGTATCTAAAGAAAGTCCTTTCAGTACTTGTGGTAGTTTGATTATTACTGTAGTTACATGTAGCCTTCATCCTTACACATGATACTATATGCATGAATTTTTGTATTTAGAGAAATGTGTAAATATAACATTCGTGTAACTTAAAGTAAGAAATGCCTTTCAGTACTTCGATTTTTTGATTGCAAAACGAAAGTAGCTGAAATCTACAATACGAGTCATTTGATTTCAAAACAAATTATATATTTGGCACCTGTGGACCAATCTCTATTATGCATAAAAGTATCTTAAAATATAAAAAAATATTTTTGTCATCTCGCCCAAGCAAAACTATTAGCTTTGTTTGATTTGCAGCAAAAAGATAAACACAGTTTGAATTGAAAAAAGGTCATTTATTAACAAAATGACGAAACTACTAATGCAGTATAATACTTTTGTAATGAGAATTACATAACACTCCATGAGAAAGTCAACTTAATGTACTTTGTAAAACTTCACAATATATACACTCTATGAGAAACATCTGACTAGTTCAATGATTATTGCAAAATCAAAGGTGGGGACCAATAAAACAGCCTTAATTACGTAACACTTCATGAGACAGTCAAATTAATGTACTTTGTAAAACTTTACAATATATACACTCTCAAGAAACATCTGACTAGTTCAATGATCATTGCAAAATCAAAGGTGGTTACCAATAAAACAGACATAACAAAATTACAGGTTTGGGAGGGTGGTGGGTGAAAACACTAAATAGCCAGCTTTCTACTACCGTAGAATTTCAGCTTTTGTTTACAAACTTTGACGTATTGCACTGCCACCTAACGGCAGTGTTACTCTGCAGGGAGATAACTCTCCCAACACACCAACTACAGCTCATGCCAAAAATGCATTTATTAACATAAATGTAATTTTTTGTCATCTCGCCCAAGCAAAACTATTAGCTTTGTTTGATTTGCAGCAAAAAGATAAACACAGTTTGAATTGAAAAAAGGTCATTTATTAACAAAATGACGAAACTACTAATGCAGTATAATACTTTTGTAATGAGAATTACATAACACTCCATGAGAAAGTCAACTTAATGTACTTTGTAAAACTTCACAATATATACACTCTATGAGAAACATCTGACTAGTTCAATGATTATTGCAAAATCAAAGGTGGGGACCAATAAAACAGCCAACGTATTACTAATAAGTATGACTGATTAGTAATACCCCCCACCTAATAGTTTTGTGGGCGAGGTAAACAAAATAGGAGAAAACACCTAGAGTATGTTATTATAAGACTTACAATTTCACACAAAGATAAGATTTATCTTCCATTAATACTTTTAAATGTTAATTCGACTGTATGGCAAAACAATTCATTCCTACATTACACTCTAATGTACAACACATGGATACCAAGTGAACCCACATCAAAACATGTTTAAAAAGTAGCTAATTCAACATTAGAATCAGCAGAAAAACAATGCAATAAACACACATGGATACCAAATTTAAAAACATCAAAATATTACTAAAAAGTAGCTAAATCCACATTTAACAATCAAAAAACCTAAACTAACCTTAAGTAATTAATATAACATGACATTTTGCCTCTGTCTTCATATCCAGTCTTGTATTTTTAATTAAACCAATCTAAAAATTACATATGCATTGGATAGAGGCCCCTGTCCTCACATCCAATTTTGTAACTTATTCAATTTTTTTTTTTTTTTTTTTTTTTTTTTTTTTTTTTTTTTTTATTTTGGATAAAGGCCCCTGTCCTCATATCCAACTTTGGAAATATTCAAAAACCAGTACATTGGCTCCTGTCCTAATATCAAATCTTGTAGCTATTTCTACAAAAATCAGTGTGTAACAATGGACAAAGGCTTGTAACTATTCAAAATTATACACTGGATAAAGTCCTTTAGCCTCATATTCAACCTTCGAAATATTCAAACAATACATTGGATATACATTGGATAATGACCCTTGCCATCGTATCCAACCATGCAACTATTTCTATTCAAACCACTAAATGTATAACATTGGATAAAGGCCCCTGTCCTCATATCCAAACTTGTACACATTCAGAATAAATTGTAAGTACTTTTACATCAGATAAAATTACACATTCAGTATCAGTTTGTTATTAAGCCTTCCACAATACAAGCCAATTATGAGGGGACTATACACATTCTTGCAGAATTTCTTCTCTATGCTACAATTAAAGGTACCTGATAACAATATATACACGTGAAGGCTTATTATGTACTAGTAAGTGTTCACTTTGTACTGCTTACAATCAGCTGAGAAATTTTTCCATTTTACAATGACAAAACTTGTTGTTTATAATTTTAATAAAGGAATTCGAATATATCTTCTAAAAGCTTCTGATTTCCATCTTCCTAACAGCTGAATCTGATCATCAGAAACTCCTTTTGATTTAGCCCATGATGCAGCACCAATTCTAAATGAATGACCCTTATATATTTTAGTATCATAACCCAAGAATGTAAGAGAAATTTTCAATTGTTCATTGAACATATGGCGTGTAATAGGCGATTGATCTCTAAGCATGAAAAGAGGCCCATCTTCTTCACCCCTTACATTCAAATAATCTAACATTGCTAGCACTGCACAAGTTTCCGGTTTTTCAGTGTCTGCGGTTATTTGAAATGTCACAGGTGGCTTGCCTTGATGATGCTTGAAGTTTGTTAGAGTTAATATCATTTCTTTAGGTCTGGCATTGGGAGATTTTTCCAATTGTATAGCTGTTAATGGTAGGACAGTAGAGGACTTTGTTGTGCTTGTGATTTCACCAATGCGTAAAAATGCATGAAAAGCTAGTAAAAACATTGCTTTAAACAAACATTTCTCATAAAATGAAGATGTACATAAATGAAGGGAGTTTACCAACTTTTGTAAAATTGAAGGGGTAATAGGCATTCTGACATCTGCAGTGGACTTTAATTTTTGAAAACCCTGAATTGTTCGTTTTATCACAAAATTTTGAGTAGGGTCAACATGACCTTCCATCTTACTAAAATGTGCTAATGCAGACAAATATGTACAAACAGTTTGAGGTGCAAGACCTTTTTGATAACAATTTGATATAAACAACACTAAATGTTCTACATCAATTGGAAATGTTACTGTTCCAGGAAAATGGTCTTCCAAGAATTCCTCATAAGCCAATTTTGCTCTCTGATATGAATTACGTGTCCCAACTGTAAGGGCATTGTCCAACAAGAACTGCGACACCTCTTTCAGATTTTGTATATTTCTGATGGGATCTCCAATGGAGACTTGTCCATGTGTGGAGCCAGTTCCCGGAACTGTTGAATCTGCAATCGAGACAATTTGTCACTTAATATGTTTTTGACACCTGGCACATGTTTAGCATAAAATAGAATGTTGAATTTCAAACACTGAACAATGAGACGACGCAATAAATTCATAATAGACTGGTCCTTTGCACTTTGTTTATTAATAACGTAAACAACTGCCATATTATCTGAAAAGAAACAGATTCTCTTATTAGCCATTTGATTTCCCCATAAATGAACAGCCACAACAATTGGGAAAAGTTCTTTTACAGATATATGATGTTCAGTCCATTCGGTCGTCCATTCTCCGTAAAACCATTGTTTTCCAAACACCCCTCCATGTCCTAAGCCACTTGCATCCGTATACAATTGCAGTGTTTCTGATGTTTGAAGCTTATCATCCAAAAAAAATGATGAACCATTAAAATGTTCAATAAACAATGACCATGCCTCTAAATCCGCTCTTGCATCTTTTGTTATTCTTCGCTTATGGTGAGGCTTTTTTAATCCTTTGGTCAAATCAATGAGCCGGCGGAGGAATGTTCTTCCTGGTGTAACTACTGCACAGGCAAAATTTAATAGCCCAATCAATGATTGAATTTCTTGTAGAGTCATCTTTTTCCGACACTTTGCATTGAAAATTTCCTTGCGTATCTTGGAAAGTTTTTCTTCTGGGAGACGTATAATCATGTTATCCGTGTCCAATTCCAATCCAAGAAATGTGATGGTGGTTGTTGGAAATACTGTTTTATCTTGTTTCATTGGAATGCCGATGTGGTCAAAAGTGTTAAGAAGTATGCATAATTGTTTCTCACATATAGAGTAGGAAGGTGGTCCTACCAACAAAAAATCATCCAACATATGTACACATCCAGGAATCTTAAGTTTGTTGGTTACAATCCAATGCAATGCTGTTGAAAATTTTTCAAAAAGATTACATGCAAAACTTAATCCCATAGGAAGTGTCTTATCAAAATATATATCTTTTCCAATGGCAAACCCCAATAATTCATGGTCAGATGGATGAATAGGAATATTTTTATAGCCATGTTCAATATCTGTTTTAGACAAATAAGATCCCTTTCCAAATTGTTTTATCAATTTAACAGCATCATCAACAGTTTGATAAGATACAGCTGAATGTTCTCTATCAATTCCATCATTAATTGATGACCCTTCAGGAAATGAGAGGTGATGGATTACCCTATATTCCCCAGGTTTCTGCTTAGGAACCAGACCCAGTGGAGAAATCTGTAATGCTTTAAATGGAATATTATTGATATGGAAAGGGCCCCCGACCCTATTTGTGGCAACTTCTTTTTGAATTTTTTCCTGCAAAATTTCTAAGTTTTCACGAGCTGACTTGAGATTTTCACTATAACGAAAAGTTCTACTGCCATTAAATGGAATGCGAAACCCAAACGTAAACCCATCCAACAAGTACTGTAGTTTTTCCTCCTCATAACCCTCTAGCCACAAATTTAACACATCAACTTTTATCGGTGTAACCACATCATGATCTTTATTTCTTAGCCTTTGTTGCGGTCTGACTGATTTTGTTTCCGCTTGCTGGCAAGGATCTAACTGGGCTTGGTTGGATTTCACTTGAGAGGGTACAGATTCTTTTGTGGTGTTGTCCTTGGCACCTAAGGCAAATATGGGGAAAGTCACAGTTTGTTCTGAGGCACTTCCCTGCGTTGTTGTTGAAACTAAAGCACGGACCTTTTTCCTGTGATCTGGCACGAAAGGGCTGCTGTTTGTTTCCTGACTGCTGAGTATAGGAGCTGTTAGTTTTTGATGATTTCTCCCAAGTCTGAATTTTGGTTTTTAAGCCAATCTGTAGTGCCTCAGAATGAAGTTCCTGGTTGATAAGCTGCCAGGGCATAAGACTTGGGCTATCCGCTCTCCACAGTCGAAATTGCTCATCATAATACAAAGCGGCCTTTTCCCCAACATCTGCATTTAATTTCTGTACAATTGCCATGTACTTCATCATGTTGGAAGACTGGTTAGGAAATTTCTCACAATAAATTGACACAAAAATGTGGAATGCATTTATCCACTGAGTGAAAGATTTCAAATAAAACTTTTGCTCTTTGTGCTGAAAAGTTATTTCATTGTTTGCACCTTGCACTGCTTGTAATTTTGAATATGGATTCTTGAACAGGAGAGCGCCAAGTTGGATGTATTCTTCCGCCCAAATTTTAGCTTTCAATTTCTTGTCAATGCTTTGTCCTAAGGGACGACCTGAGTGTAATGGACCTGTTGCATTTAAAACATTACCTTGGGTACTGCTTGTCAAGGGTTGACTTGGCAGGGTTGCTGCACTGCTTGTACCCTGTTGACTAGGCTCTCCTTGATGGACTGTTGCTACAACATTGTTATCTGGGGGCGGTTGGCTTACATCCAAGCTGCATACGTTGGTAGGAGATCCTTGCTCTGTAGGCAGATGCGACATATCTCCCTTTAATTTCTGAGTAACCATTTCTACAATGTTTGGTACCATTGTTTGCAGCATCTGTGACATCAGATCGGAAACCTCCTTTCTAGTTGTATCATCTAGTCTTCTTCTTTTGCGTGCTGGCGGCATTTTGAGAGCTGAAATAAATATAGCTTTATTACAATACCAGTACTAACGTACTTTATGGCATTTAGCATTGATTAACATCAAAATGCAAAAAACAACTTGCAATTACCATTGCCAAGACAATTAAGTAAAATCCTTAGCAGGAATAAACTTTCATCTTTTTGATAAAATTCCTTAACAGGAAGTTCCTTAACAGGAAAAAGAAACTTATCATCCTTAGCAGGATGAATAAGCCATTATTCATTGCAAGGTCCTTAACAGGTCTTACATGTATTTAAAAATTCCTTAGCAGGAATACAATTTCATCCTTAGCAGGATAATTCAGAGACTTCTGATTCTAAGTTCCCTAACAGGAAGTTCCTTAGCAGGAAGAAACTTTCATCCTCCGCAGGGTAAATAGAAAACAATTGATTTCAAATACATAAATTCCTTAGCAGGAATAACTTTTCATCCTAAACAGGATATAAATGGATGATTGCAAATTCCTTTACAGGATTTAAAATAATTTAAAAATTCCTTAACAGGAATCAATTTTTTCAACCTAGGCAGAATAACTCAGCCTGCTTACCATAATCTTAAATAGGATATACCTGATATTTCCTTATTGTTAACATAATGAGAGAGACCGAAGACTCTGTAAATTATCTAACATGGTTAACACCACTGTCAGTACCTTAAGAGTATCCCTTCCAATTCTAGTCTTTGATTGATGCGAAAAACTTTACTGGCATGTACTGCTACTTAATCTGTAAAACATGTCTGTATGCATTAAATGTGAACGTCATACAAATTCATACGCAATGAAATTTTTTATATCAACACTGAGTGCAATATGTCACAACTATTATTTAAAATTTTCACAAAAGATACATATATATATAGTACTGTATATATATACAAAGCATTATGGATTAAAGTCATTCATCTGCTCACTATACTAACTTCAGAGTATGCAGAATGGCACCTCGAATGTTCCTATAATATTTATGGTAGCCAACAGTCTCATTTAAATGTACACCATCCTGCTTGTATATATCAGCCTGACTGTTTTTTAACCCCTTTAACTTCCAATACCTTAAATTTGAATGTTTAGACAATTCCTTCTTAAGAATTTTGTTTGCAAAACTCACAAAATTATTGTAAGTACAATCTGTTAAATATCTTGTTCTTTGACGAAACAGTAATTGGCACACTATTATTTCAAGGGAATATCTTTTTGCAAACAAGTTTAAAAGGGCCACATATCGCAAAATGATTGTATTTACTTCATCAAATGTCACTTCTTTAGAGTCTAAATCATTCCCACCCAAGTGTACAACAAGACCTTTCGGTTTATGTGTCTTTATAAAAACTTCAATTCTTTCAACATGTCGTGAATTTTTAATACATCCTCCTGGTATTCCATAACAAAGAACGGAGCAGTCTTCAATATCAAATTTTTTATCACGATAAGAAAGGAAAGTTGCTAGTCTTTTCACGTGTGAATCGCCTACAATCACAACATCGGTCATGTCGCTTCATTTACATATTGACATGTAACTGACCAATCAGCATCGAGGATATCTTTAGCACAGGCAGACAATATCTCTCAGATCCGTATTTTCACAGCGTCCACACAATTCAACCATAAATAACAGTTGTTTTGTTTGTTTGTTGTTTGTTTTTTAAATACCTACATGTATATACTATGGGTTTCCTCACGTTAATGATGCTTTTCTTGTAGCAAATTGTTGATGGTCAGTCCGCGCCAATTTTCACAATGGATGTTCACAATGCAACCCACGCTATTCGTTTTTCCGACGTTTCCGCCTTGGCTGAACACACACAATAGAAAAATTACACTACAGTACATCTACTAACTTGCGACATAAAATGGATCCCACTCACCGTGTTTGAAAACACTAAATAGCCAGCTTTCTACTACCGTAGAATTTCAGCTTTTGTTTACAAACTTTGACGTATTGCACTGCCACCTAACGGCAGTGTTACTCTGCAGGGAGATAACTCTCCCAACACACCAACTACAGCTCATGCCAAAAATGCATTTATTAACATAAATGTAATTATATAAAAAAAAAACAAAAAAATCGAAAATTTACGGAAACAGAAATTCACTTCCTGTTCGAACAGGAAATGCTGAAAACAAACGAAACATATCTTGTGCATTGACAAATATTAAAATCTTATATTTCAGAAACTTTTAACTACTTTACCTCAAACCGCCCCCCCCCCCCCCCTTCCCAAAAAAAGACAAAAGTCCATTTAAAATTTTGAAATACGGCGATAACTTCGGACCGGAGGTGAATTTTTCATAAAAAGAAACTTTGTATATCTTCAGATATCAGCCTATTATCCTGTGAAAAATTGTGTGAATCTTGAGTAATTGCTCTCACAAAATTTGGGAGGAATAATAATAATAAAAAGAAACAATACAATCACTATAGGTCTTCCGTTGTGAATGGTAGACTTAATAACATCAATCGGAGTTTTTTAAATGCTGCATTTTTCCCACAGCAAGAAAATTACCACGCTGTTGAGGTTATTGAGCCTACCTTCAGCATACAATCCAAAGGGCAATGTGCCAAACAGCTGCTTGAAATGGTCTCCTCAATCTTAGGGAATGGGAAAGAAGGACCAGTCACGGTAATAAGCAGGTAATGTCACGGTAATAAGCAGGTAATGTCACAGTAATAAGCAGGTATTGTCACGTTAATAAGCAGGTATTAAATTTTAGCACCTTTGGTACCTTTGAATATTATTAATTTCTACAGTTGGAATCATTTCTTTTTAATGTATGGATTATTTTAATTGTTGAGAATGGAAGGACAGCTTATTTACTTGGACCGATATTTCTGAAATGTATTGATATTTTGGTTCATTTATTGCGTTTTGCTTGTGTGCGGGGGATTGCTCTGTAAAATAAAAGAAGTCGAAGATTTCTCTGTAGAATAATACAATTCGAAGAGAAAAGCGCTTTGGGTACTTAATTAGATTGGGTTTTTTTCATAACCACAATGCCCATGGAAAGTTTTGGGATAAGATAATTTGAAAAAAAAGTCTGGGTCACTTTTGCAGGACGAAATGCTTGTCGAAGATGAAACCGTGATACTGATTAAGGTCAGACGACACTGTCTTCAAATAAATGTTTAGCATCTCTTGGCATTATGTAAAAAAAACAATCATAATTGTCGCTCTCTTAGAATTTCTACACTGTTTTCAATATGATTAAAAAAAATGACATACATAATTGCCATTAAGAAGATTACCCATAAGGATTATATAAGAAATATCACCCTCTGGTATCTTGTCCAAATGCCTGGTAAGGTAACTCAATTTTTTATGAGGGCATTTCAATACTTTAAGGACAAATTCTTTGGAAAAATTATATATTTTCGAGGAACGTGTCGTCTGACCTTAAAGAATTTTATTTCTTGGTAGTCGATAATTCAACAAGGATATAGATACGTTCGTAATGATCTAAGAATACACCTCTTTTTTTTTAGTGACGGTGCAGCATTATGTGGAATGTTATGTGCTGTATACAATGTCGTGCAACAGCTGTCAATGGATGATGAAATCGATATTTTTACCGCTGTCCGGCAGTTACAAATAAGACGTCCTGAGCTATGCTCTACCTGGGTAAATATTTCCTTGATTGTTGTTCAAATTGCATATTACATGTAATACCGCATCAATGTACATCTTAGTAACTCTTTCATTTTACTTTAGAGTATATTATGCTTTTCTAACTGGAAAAATCTTTTGTTTTGCAATTAGTATTCAATCTTTTTATGATATCACACATCATCATGGGAATACATGCAGTAAAATACTCCTTCAGAAAAAAAAAAATAAGGAATTGATTTTCAAATACATGTATTGTGTTTGCTTTCATTTCTAAATTATATATGTTTTACAGACAGAGTACAAGATAATCTATACAGCTGTAATGGAGTATATTCAGACACAGGAAGAAGAAATAGGGGGCGCCATCTACTCTAATCAATGAATAGCAGAACTATAAATATATATTGTAGAAATAATGAAGATTTCTTATAAATTAATTTCTGTCAAGATGGGCAAGGCTAATTAGGATAAATCAAGAAAACAAGAGACATGTGCTCTTTGAACATATATGGAATAATCCAAAGATTAAAATTAATAATTAATCTTTCTTTTAGAAAAACTATTTTAATGAAGGCATTGTTTTTCTTATTGACCTCTTTAATAATGAGGGTAGTTTCATAAGTTTCGACTCCTTAATAAACTTAAAAGTGAAAACAAATTTTATTGAATATAATGGTCTTGGGACAGCAGTGATAGATAAACTGAAAAATATAAACAATAGTGAAATTAAAAATATAAAGTCAATTGGACCACACATTCTAAATTCCATTTTTGTGTATTATAAACATGATAAAGGTTGTAAGGACATGTATAATATATTTATAAGTAAAAAGAAAGAGCCAGTCAACTCGCTCAAAAAATGGAGAGAAAATAGTGTCTTCCTTTGTGAAGCAAACTGGAATAAAATATTTGAACTTCCTTTTAAAATAACACAAGAATCTAAATTTTAATGGCTACAATTTCAAATATTACATAGAATCATCCCAACTAATCATTATCTATTTAGACTTAAATTGATTGATTCTCCAGCATATAGTTTCTGCAGAAGTGACATAGAAACAATTGATCACTTATTTGTAAAATGTTTTTATGTAAAAGAACTCTGGTGTACCATTGAAGAATGGATTTTAAATAAGTTAAATATCCATTGTAGTTTGGATAGACAAGCAATACAATTTGGTAAATATGAAAATAGGAATGTTTATAAATTGCAAAACATTTTAATACTTATTGTAAAACAATTTATTTTTGTTAGTAAATATAAGAAGGTTCCAAGAATAAATGTTGACGCTATATTAAAGGGAATCAAAGATAGAATTTTTATTGAAAAAAGTTTTGTTGTTCAAAAGTTGTACAGTACCAACCAGACCCAACCTGACACAAAGCAGTCCCGGGGACTGCTTTCTGGGACTGCTCTGGGACTGCTAAAGCAGTCCCATAGCGGTCCCAGAGCAGTCCCACAGCGGTCCCAGAAAGCAGTCCCAGTGGGCGGGGTTAATTAATTTAATGGGCGGAGCTTACTCAGAAATGAGATTACCAATAAACAATGTAACTATAAAAGGCAGTTGAAATTAATGATCCATTTCTTTCTGAGTAGTATCAATTCTCATGCGACGGTCATTTTTGAACTGTTACATTGTAAGAAATTCACACTACGCTTATAGAAACAAATAATAAATACTGAACAAAGAAGACGGTCACACCTACTAATAACATGAATATTTAAACACAATCTTGTGGTATATTAATTTTTCACCAAAAAAAAATCAATTTTTTAATTAACTGTGATTGATATCGGTTTCCATATTTATTTATTTATTTTTTTATAGAAAATTAAACTTGAGTTGTTTATTTTCTATCAAAACTAGCTTTAAATAGACCTTATAGTTATAGAGCAAGGCCGATTTCCATACTATACTCTGAATGCAGTTTTCTTAAGTACTGGAGCTTTAGAAAAATTCTTTGAGTATTATATTTCAGTCATGATTATTTTCACTGACTTGCCAATTTAATTATCGTTAGATTATGTAACAGAAAACAATAATACTTTTATTATATAAATGTTTGAGTGTACATCTGTAAATCACACGAATGGAACCCTCAGATTATGTTCAAAATTAGTTAATCCCGAAAAAAACGAAGATTTTTTGCAGTACATAGATTGAAATTAGTGCCATTGTTGACCAGCATGTTCAGTGATGTGTAACACTGATACCCAAATAACATGCATTGACTTTCTGCTAATCATGCCCGAAGGCGATTGAAACCTCAGGTGTTGACACCATTTCATACATTTGTATTGCTTTTTATTAATCGGCCAATCAGCCAGGATAACACAAACAAAACAAATAAGAAATAAGTCACAATTCCCAATACATGTAATTTTAAAAAGTTTATAAATTTACTCTTTTAATAACTTGTTTATAAATCAAAAACAAATTCATAAATAGATCCCCCAGTAAATGTTCACAAATATAATTGTTTAAATGACTGAAGAATGGTAGAATAATTTTATTTCATGGTCATTTAATAAATTATTAGGTTTTATTTGAGGGCGGTAAAAAAATAACATGGAATGCTCTTTTTTAGCATGGTTTTAGCTTTTTCAAGTTAAAAAAAATCCAGTACAGTACTTCCCTCTGAATATCTTATTGTAATGACAAGTTTGTTTGTTTTTTTTTAAATAGTGCTAATGCAAACTTTGAGTACATACCGTAACTTGACAGCATTAATTAATTAAATAGGCCTAGATATTTTTTTCAAACACCTGTATTAAAGTTTTAATTAGCATTAATTAATTAAATAGGCCTTCGAGATATCTTTTTTTTTCAAACACCTGTATTAAAGTTTAATTCAAGGTATAAAAGTAATCTCCTGATTTCCCTTTTAACTAATTTCATTTTTTAAAATTAATTCTAGACTACAATTGTGTAAATTTACAGCCCCTTAAGACATTTAGTAATTACACTTGTATCTATCTCTTTTTATTAAAATCTTGTAAGAAATCCTTTGTATTTTTATTCTTTATCTTAAACACCTCTCTGCTGAAAGTAAACAAAACCATAACAGGGAGCTGCAAATTCAGAATACACAAGGGGCGGAGCTATCATGTCACTCAGAACCTCTTTCATGCATGAGTGAACAAAGCAGTCCCAGAAAGCAGTGCCAGGGAGTGCTGGGACTGCTTAGATGTCAGGTTGGGTATGGTTTGGTACTGTAGATATAAGGAATATGAAAGGCATTGGCAAACTATTTGTGATGCACTGTAATTAATATAGTTATATATATTTCCTATTACCTATTTGATTCAGAGGAAAAAATTAGATTGATCATTTTGTATTATTTGTAATAGAACAATTGTTTTCTTCTTTTTTTTTGGCTACCCCCCCCCCCCCTCCCTTTTTTTTCTTGCTTCTGTTTATTTGTTGTTGTTTTTTTCTTTCAAAACAACTTTCACAGTGCATAAAGTATATTTGTGTAAATATGAGTAAGATGTGTATTCAGATGTTAACTCATACCAAATGATAAATTTATCATGTATACATGTACTTATGAAAGTGTTTTTTAAAAAAAAAAGACATGCAGTAAATGATCTGAAATAAAGTATGTTGAATTGTTTAGCGGATTATAAATGTATCATTTTTTTCACAGTAAAGGAAGGACAAAATAATCACTCCGGATAACTCTATTTCTTTAATTTTTCAAAAATATTAATATCAAACAAGCATTGTGAGAGTATTGCATTAGCAATACTAGTCCCCAAGTGTAATCTGGTTCCCGCTAGAAATTGAAAATTCCCTAATTCCGTCAAAAATCAATGAAGCGGAATGAAATGCAAACTTGATCTATAACTCATCACGGTAAAGTCACTTACCAAAAATCAGCTCAATATCTGAAAGCGTTTAGAAAAAAAAATTGCGGAAAACCCTGAAAAAATTGAAAAGGTTGAAATTCTGCCAAAAATCATTGAAGCGGAACGAAATGCAAACTTGGTCTGTAACTCAGCAAGATACACTCACATACCAAAAATCAGCTTAATATCTGCAAGCGTTTAGAAAAAAAAATGCGGTAAACCAAGTGGAACAGACAGACGGACGGACAGACTGAGATGAAACCTATAGTCCCCTCCGGTTTCACCGGTAGAGGACTAAAAAGCTATCAGCGTTAATAACGTTTATCATTTATGAATGTGTGTTGTTATTATGTGTATCACATTTTGAAATTTTAAGAATGAATACTTAGATGCAAACCTTGTTAAATCATTTAAATGTTTTAGAAAATCAAGCAGATTCAAAAGAATTGTGGTCCTTCGCCTTCGGTGTCTTGTGTAACTTTCTTGTGTGTGTTTCCAGCCTTGTCTGCACATCATAAAAAAGACAAACTATTGAATTAATAAAAGCTATGCAAAGATTAAAGCTTCTCAAAACTACATAAAACTTCAAAATCGAGGTCATGAGGTTAAATACCATAATACAATTCGAAAGATCTTGTATAAGTAATGCACTTGTGAAAAAAATTTGAAAGCCGTATCTCTTCTGGAGCAAACGTTATGGCCAAAGTCAACATTTTTGATAAGTAGGCTAAAATTCAAGGAGAAAGTCATGAAGTCAAAAATGATATATCTTTCTGAAAGGTGTTGTCATAGGTAATGTTCCTGTCAAATATGAAAACCCTATCTTCTCCCATTCCAAAGTTATTAACAATATAAAATTAATTTGAACAAGTAAATTCAAATAATTGTGTCAGATAATTGTGTTACCCGCTTATAATGTCTTAAGATTTTAGGATGCACTCATTAATGGCATATTCGTTTGTAACTTTCTTGTTTGTTTTACCGTTCACGGTAGCTTAGTCGTTAGAGTGCTCACTCCCTGATCGGGAGGTCGTGAGTTCGAATTTCGGCCGCGACTGACCTAAGTCGATAAAAATGGGTAGCAACTGTTCCTTCGTCATGCGCTCGGCACTTTGAAGTGAAAGTTGCGGGTCCTTCGGATGATACCTTAAAAACCGAAGCCACGTGTCACGGCAGACGTTGGAACGATAAAGATCCCTAACTGTTCAATGGCCCTGAGTGCCGAGTAAAGGTCAAAATTTGAAGTCCTTCACCGGTGTATGGTGACGTCTCTATACGAGTGAAAAATTCTCGAATGGGACGTAAAACAACATAAAATCAATCAATCATATTGTTTGTTTATTACGGTAGCTCAGTCGGCAGAGTGTTCGCTTCGTGATCGGAAGGTCGTGTGTTCGAATCACGGCCGCGACTGACCTAAGTCAATAAAAATAGGTACCAACTTTCCTTTGCCAAGCGCTCGGCACTTTGAAATGAAAGTTGCGGGTCTTTCGGATGAGACCTTAAAAACCAAGACCCCGTGTCATTAGGGCTGTATCAATATATCGATACGTATCGATATTTAAGAATGTATCGTATCGAAAAAATAACTTCCAATACGTATCGGACAGGCAGATTTTCTCATAATTCTGTGAAAAAAGTTTTGAATTTCAATCACCAAAGGTTATGTTTTCACTGTTTTGAATTAAAATTGATCAATAATGACATAATCATTAAGGAGATAGCACATCTTAGATAAATATTACAAAATACACAGACAACTTTATTTTAACGTATGTTGTTTTACAGTCACTAAAAGTTTGAATTTGAAGTGAAATTTGTAGAGACAATTAGACAAGACCTAGAAATGGGTTATAAAACAATTAGTTTTTATAAAATTCATGCATTTAATGATTTGTATGACTGTTTCAATAGACTTGTTGAAGAATCCAATATATCGGATATCGCATTATAAAATATTGTATCGTATCGTATCGAATTTTTTTTTTGCTCAATAAACAGCCCTATATGTCAAGGTAAGCGTTGGCGCGAAAAAGAACCCTCACTGCTCAATGGCCCTGAGTGCCGAGTATGGTCTGAATTTGAAGCCCTTCACCGGTATATGGTGACGTCTCTATACGAGTGAAAAAATTCTCGTGCTGGACTAAAACAACATTCAATCAATCTTGATTGTCCTTCAAACTTATAGGTCAAGGTAATGAAGTAAAAAATTATATACCTCCCTCAAAGGTGTTTTCTTAGTTAATTGACATACAAAATATGAAAACCCTGTCGTCTCCCAATAGATAGTTTTCATTTGGCCCAAATTATCAAGAGTTATTTCCCGTTGGCCGCCATATTGGAGGTCAACATGCTCATATTCCTTCATTATTCAACCAACTTTAACTGTTTATACTGGCCATTGTGGGGTAGGAAGCATTGTTTTTCTAAAATCTTTACATTTGTTAAAGCCTCCTTTTTTATATAATTTTTATTCCCTAAAGATTTTCTACCAAATATTTCTGCTGCACCTTCTTAAATTTGGTAA